CTGTAATTTGTTTGCATTCAGAAAAGTACCAAAATAAAGATTTTTAAACCCTCCAGCACCATAGTTCCTTCTTACACCTAAACTTCGTTAACTTTGAATTAGATGCAGACCTAATTGCCAAGATATCTTGGCAGCATGGAATCCTTTTTCTTGAACTGTCTAAAAAAGGATTTTAGAGTTTCACAGTGTGCAGGCCAGGAATTTTTTAAACCAGGGGTCAGCACCAAACTTTCTGTAAAAGGCCAGATAGTAAATATGTTAAGCTTTGTAGGCTATGTGGTCTCTGTCACAGCTATTCAACTCTGCCATTGTAGTGCAAAAAAGAGAAAGGACAATGTGTACATGAATTGGTATGGCCATGTTCAAATAAAACTTTAAACAATGGCAACACATAGTTTGCCATATGTTTTAAGTCATAAATCTCTAAATCATGTATGATGATATACTTGTTCATTACAGGAAGAAGTTAAGGTTTTTTACAAAAATAAAAAGCTATAAAAATATTCTGAATGATACAAAATGAATTGACCATAAATGAACATATTGACAGATTTGAACATAAAAATTAGGACCACACAGCATACCATCCTATATAAGAAAGAGCTAATATGCTAATTAGACTGAGCAGACCGTCTGGATGACCTTCCAGATGAAGCTGGGGCTTCGAGGGCTGAGGGAGCTGGGGAGCGAGGGCTGAGCCCCTTGCACGAATTTTTTGCATTGGGCCACTCATTAATAAAAGATGAATGACAAACTAGGGAAAAAATAGTTGTAACCTATACATGACTAGCAATTGGTGTGATTTGTATGCACCAGTGAGATGAATAACAAAAGAAAAAAGGACATAAGATACAAACTCACAAGAAAAGGTGCATAATGGCTATGGTAAATAGGAAAAGATGCTCATTCTTACTAAAATCTGTATTAAAGGGAATTTTTTTTGCCTAGGTTTATAAATGTGAATAATTAGTAATACTTATAATACTCAGTGTATCAAGGAACATGGGGAAATAAACTGGAGAATTATCCCACCACCTAGCAGCCAAAAACAACAAACATTATCTCACAATTTTTGTGGGTCAGGAATCCAGGCATGGCTTAGCTAGGATGGTTTGGCTCAGCATTCTCGTTAGGTTGTAGTTGAGTTGTCTGCCAGGGCTACAGTCATTGGGGCTGGACAGTGTACTATCCAGATGATGCACGTGAGTGTTGGCAGACCCCAGTTCCTTTCTGCCTGCTGGCCAGAGGCATCAGGTCCTCTCCACATGGGCCTTGCCATTGGCTCCCTGAATGTCCTTACAGCGTGGCAGCTAGTTTCTCCTGAGCCAGTGATCCAAGAGACAGGCAACCAAGACAGGCTCCACCGTGTATTCTATAATCTAATATTGGAAGTCACGTACCGTCACAGACTAATTCTGGTACAGCAGGGGAGGGACTACACAACAGGTGAATAGTAGGAGACAGGGATCCTTGGGAACCACTTTGGAGGCTCACTAACATATTGCTTGTATTGGGACTAAATAATGCTGAGGGCTTCATTTTTGTTCAGCTGGGTTCTGCAGTTGTCGCATGGTGTGTCCTACATCTCGAATCGCTTTTCTTCTCAAATGTCTGCCACCTGGATGAGTTTGGCAGGAGCACCTCGAGGTTGGCTGGGCATCTTTCACTCTACCTGGCTAGCTTGGTCTTTACAACATTGTGGTCTCAGGTTAGTCATACTTACTTGGCAGCTGGTTCCCCCAGAGCCAGCATCAAGGAGATCTGGTTAAGAACTGAAAAGCTTCTTCTGACCTAGCCTTGAACTGTTTCCATTTTGTGATGCCAAAATGTGTCCCAGGACCAGCCCAGATCAAGGGCATGATTACCAGGAGGTGGGACTTACTGTGAAGGACCACCTTTAGAACCTATTCCAAGAAGTTATGAGTAAGAGAGATTATGCTAGCTTGTTCTAAAGTGGTAGTAGTTGCCCTAACCGGTTTTGCTCAGTGGATAGAGCATGGGCCTGCGGACTGAAGGGTCCCAGGTTCAATTCCAGTCAGGGGCATGTACCTTGGTTGTGGGCACATCCCCAGTGGGTGTGCAGGAGGCAGCTGATCGATGTTTCTCTCTCATCGATGTTTCTAACTCTCTATCCCTCTCCCTTCCTCTCTGTAAAAAAATCAATAAAATATATTTTAAAAAATAAAATAAAATAAAGTGGTAGTAGTAAAAGGAAACAAATTGATTTGATTTTGGATATGTTTTGAAGATAAAATTGACAGAATTTGCCTTTGGACTGGATATCTAGTATGTGGGAGAAATAGAGAAGTCAAAGATGAATCTTAGATTTTAGAGCTAAGCAATTTGAAGAATGGTGATGCCATTTACTCCAATGGGAAAGACATAAGGGCAACAGGTTTGGAGAGGGAAATCAGGACTGGGCATCTGTATAAGAGAATGCATATGATCTTATAACCCTTAAGGAGAAATCTAAATATGTGATGATGTAGAAATACTACCTATGGTATTAATTTTAAGGTACAATAAATAAAGTATGATTTATATTATGGAGAAAGAAATATATTTATTAATATGTGCATTATTGTTATTCCACATAATTCTAACCAGTTCTAACCTATTTTTCTAGGGCTATATTGAGTTTAGATTTTATTCTGTAGGAACAGTTTAGATTTTATTTCATAGTCAGAGGGAACTTTTTGAAGGTTTTTGATCAGCAGAGTGATATGATCATAATTATGCTTAGGAAGATGAATTTCAAAGTGTAAAGAATGAAAGAACAGTGGGAGAATAGGAACTATAGTCAATATATTATAATAACTACTAGAGGCCCGGTGCACAAAAATTTGTGCACTTGGGGGGGAGGGGGGATCCCTCAGCCTGGCCTGTGCCCTCTAGCAGTCTGGGACCCCTCGGGAGATAACGACCTACTGGCTTAGGCCTGCTCCCGGGTGGCAGAGGGCAGGCCCAATCCCTAGGTGCAGCCCCTGGTCGGGCTCAGAGCAGGGCCGATTGGGGCGATGGGGCGCCACC